TCGCATTGACTGTCATGTAGATTACGTTGGCTGCTGGTGCGTAGTTCCTCGGATATCCGACATTTCACACTGGTTTGTATTTTGGTCCTCAGAAGGATCCAATGTAACCAATACAATTAAAGTCAATGGACACAATTTCGCGAAATCACCTCTTTTTGGAGGATTTTTCCTGTTGACTTGGCAGTTATTCGCTGTTTCTATATCGCATTTTTTCCTTTGTCTGCCTCTACAGAGAGACGCAAATTGCCGAGAACTGCCCCGAAAGGCAAACGAGTACGGATGTGGAGGTGGACATCTCTGCGTTTGACATTGTGAATCATCGGGATTGCAGTTCTAATGGTACGCCTCTTAACATTTTATCGTCTGGCCGGTTTGCCCAAGGGACATGTGGGGTCGGAATTGCTTATATCACCTCCCTCCACCCCAAGAAGTCACGGAGGCAGGAATATACCTAACCCCCTAATTCAAGTGGCTTTACGCGAAACTTCACCAAGGGTAAGCATGACTTGTATGGCGGGAACTACAGCAGACGCGTCTTCGACCGCGTTCCCACCCGCCCTCACTGCGGCCAAGGTCTGCTACACCAAACCTATCTACGGTGGATCAATCTCTCCTCCTCTACATCTCTCTGTTTTTGATGACGGAGCAGCCCCTCCCGACCACGCTGCTCCGACTTCCCCTCCTCCACACCGCCGGGATTGAGGCCCACCCGGCGAGGCTCCTGATCCAACAAGGGCTACTAGTCACCTATGACTTGTATGGCACGGAAGCACGAACAGCCAACGATACATGCGATTTTGTGCCAAATTCCGGGAAATTAGGTTTATGGATTAAGGGGAGAGTTAGGGTTCATTTTAGGATTTGAGGTTAGGGTCAGAGTTGAGGGGGGTGTTAGGGTGAGGGTAACGTTAAGCGTTAAGGTTTGGTTTTCGTGTTAACCGGAGGGTATGCTTTTAGGGTACGGCTGGAGTCAAGGTTAAGGCTTTAAATTTAGTTTCATGTTAGGGATAGTGTCAGGGTCGAGACACGGGAATATTTAACCTTCCTGAAATTTATTACAAGATCACTTATTTTATATAAATGAGGCGTTCCTATTCCCGTGTTCCGTTTAGCTGGCCGTACATGTCATCCCTACATTCCCCGTATCCTGACTTTAACCTAATTACGCTGGAAGTTAGCTGAAAGGCACATGTATTTCGGTGGTTCCCATTTCCTGCCTGGGTTAAGGGGATTAGCATATAAGCAATCCTCTAACCTCGTTTTGACTGGAGTTGTTACCTTTGCTTAGTTCACACTGTGGGGTATACACAACGTTCCGGGGTTTCACTATCACCATTGATATTGTAGTCTGCTTTTAAAATCACGCAGTCGTCTATCACAGCGGTTTTTTTTTGATATATATATGTAGTTCGTCGATAGTGTTTGCGATTGTCATTGCGCATAAGAAAATCAAAGTGTACAACAGATACCCCTCTGTCGTTATTACCTTTAATTGAACTTACTTTATTAACCTTGGGCTATTAACATTGTTCTTTCAAAACACCGTACAGAAAGCAGTAATCCGGGTCTGGATTTTCTGTGGGATGAAGAACGGGCACGCAGGGGAACCATAGAGGAGCTAAGTGCTGAAAGTGTCCTCACACCGGTGGCTGCAGCTTCTTTGCCCAAAATGCCAACTCCTGAGGATCTCCTGCCTCTGTCAGGTATATGTGTATGC